AGAAAGAAAGAAAGAAAGAAAGAAAGAAAGAAAGAAAGAAAGAAAGAAAGAAAGAGGAAGAGAGGTAAGTATGTAAGAACTGACCTTAAAGGAACTATGTACTAATGTCTCATCCAAGTCAATCACCACACAGATTTTACTGGCATCTTGGGGTTTGATTTCTGGCAGCAGATATTTGACTGTGGTCTGCAGGGTGAGAAAGACAGAGAGACATGTATACTTAAGATTAAACATCTGGATTTTAAAAAGCTATAGAAGCAAGGAATTTCAACCTCTGACACCTGGTGTGAGGGACAATGGGAATTAACCTGTAAAGAGCATGAATGCTCTACAATCAGAGGTCTTCCATGTGTTTTGTGAAAAGTGGATGCTGTCTCCTTTTACTTTGCTTCCCCATATTAGCATCAAGGAATATTTGGCAGGTATCAAAATCTCTGTCCTCAGTCCTCTATAGAACACTATTAGACAAAAGGATAGCCAGCAACCAAGACAGAAAGATTGAGGATTAGAATGAATCTCTCTCTCCCCTCCCTCCCTCCCTCCCTCCCTATCTATCTATCTATCTATCTATCTATCTATCTATCTATCTATCTATCTATCTATCTATCTATCTAATCTTCTGCTATAACCCATCCTTATTCTATGATTCCATAGCTATAAAATATAGGCTGGGAAGATGAAGTAGCTGCAATGGGGTGCTTTACACTTGCAAACAGGGGGAACAGGTTTGGAAGCCAAGCCTAAGCATTAGCAGTTATAAAACTGGGCAATAGAGGGCGCTAGTATATCAAGGCTCAGGTGATCTAAAAATGAATCAGCTTGGGGTCGAAGTTTAAAGAGAGTTGGTAGCTCAGGAGCTCTGAATAATTAAAGGCTCTGGTGATCGTCCAAAATTAACTAGGAAATTCATACATTAGCACCACACTTAGCTTCTTAATCATTGTTTTGAAAAAAATCTCTATCGGTTAGAGCAGGGCTGTCAAACTCCCAGCCTGCAGGCCAGATGCGCTGGACACGCCCACGCCCGGTTTAGCAAAGGGGAAAACAGTCCCAATACATCATGCGACGTGAGTTTGACACCCCAGGGTTAGAAGGTGTGTTAATGTTCTGGCAGCCCAGCCCCCATGGGCAACAAGCTACAAATCTTGAGGGATGCCAGAAATATAGAAGGCTCTTAATAAGATCATAATCTTTTTGTTAAAAGTAGTGGGTGGATAGCTTAAGTCGCTAATGTTTGATTTTTGTATAGTCCAGTGCAAATACCAGTTGGGTACTTGTTCTGTTACAGAGTGTTCTTTCAAATATAGACGAAACCCAATCTCTAACTAGATTGCCATCTCACAGCGTAGATATTACAGAAATGCTAGGCAAGACCGCCATGACTCTTCTTGCCCATCCCCTCAAACTTGTCACCTGTCATTATCTATTGGCAGCTAAGCAACAAGGGATTATGTGACGAGACCAGCAGCCAAATGTATTTCAAAGATCTCTTTCCAATCTCTGGGTTTGCATGGCAGATATGCCATCTATGTGGAATGTAACTAATTCTCCTTATCCAAGTACAAGAAAGCAATTAAAGCATTGCAGAGGGTGACTTAACGCATAGTGAATGGTCTGTAGTGGGCATTCTAATTTCTCAAGCTCTTTTCTGGTTCTCAGGGCTTAATGTCACCTGATGACATCCATTAAAGTTTTCATGCCTCCTCCAACCTCGAGCCTGGAGTTTTATTATTTTGAAGTTTAGGATTCTAGCCTGAGAATTCTCAATGAGTAGAAATATCATGAATTGAAATAAGGGTGTGGACAACAGCCCTTTTCTTAAACCTAACATATCCTTTCCCAACATAGCATCTATTGAATGGTTTGGACTACAATATTCATCAGTCCCAATCTGGGTGGATAAAAATCAATGATTTTTTTAAAAAAATCAAAAAAATCAGATTTTTTAAAAATTTAAATCGGATTTTTTTTTATTTTTATTGAATTTATTTTAATAAAAAACTTTTGGGGTAAAAATCTATCGTAAGATAGTTTTCTATTTAAGATACATAAATAATTTAGTTTATTCAGCATGAAATGGAGCTTAGTTATGTAGCATGAGGCTGTATATTCTGCAACACTGGGACTATCGGTGAGTCCAAGTACTAGCAGAGATGACAGTTGCTCTTTAAAAATTATGATTTAAATCGAGTTGATTTAAATCAAGCCTTTTTACTAGTGATTTAAATCATGATTTAAATTGTGATTTAAATCAACTTGATTTAAATCAAATCCACCCTGGTCCCAATGGTGCACAATAATTTCTTCTGCTTGCTAGGAGGACGGTGTTTCAATCCCACATATCTGGAAAGTCATGGGGTAGACTGTTCACGAGCTCCTTCCGACAAATGGATGTGTTGTTCTCAGGAGCATCAGAGGTTGGTTCCATCCTGTAAGGCAAGAACCTTGATGGCCAAAAAACCCCAGGAATCAAAGAGACACTTCAACATACCTTGGTCACCGAACCGTTTTCTTCCACCAGCAGTGGGGCATTATTGTTGACAGGGATAGGCTCTGAGTTGTCATGGCAAAGGCAGCAAAAAAGCGATTGGAAGATGCTGCGATTCCTGGGTTTCTTGGAAGATGTTTGGTTCTGAACACCTGCAGGGTTGGGGGGGGAGGAGGGTAGGTGGCCAGAAAAGACAAGCAAGTGGAAATGAAACTGCACAGCTGTCCTGTCAAAGATACTTTACTGCCTAAGACAAGAATAAAGAGCATCCCTCCCATTCCACGTGTAGAAGCCAAGTGGGCTGCAGGACGAATTCTCCTTCAACCCAGAGATAGGAGAACATCTCTCCTTGCATCTGAAGACCATGGGCTGGCTTAGGAACACAAGGCTGTGTGATTTACAGCTCTCAAGCCCAACACTTTTCTGCTGTCTTCCAGCTTCTGTTGCCTGGAACCTAACAGTAGGTTGGCCCTACGGAGAGGTATTCTACACAACCTCTGCCCAAAATGAGAGCCTTATCCAAGCATCTATCTTCTTCCTTTTCAAGCTTCATTTCTTTAAAATGTCTTTGACTCATTGCAAGATTGGAAAGTTCCATATTCAAATGCAATATGTATATAGGTGATGCATCATATTATTATCTTGCAAACTAGCAACATCTACATAGGCAGCTCTTATAATAGGATTTACTTAATCAGTACAGTAGCATCCCCTTCTCTTCACATATATATTGAAGATGTAACCTCACATTTGCCATGGAACCATATTGTGCACAGATGCCTATGATCAAAATAGGTTTATTTCCTGAGAAGAGGGCTCAGAGGTGGAAAAAATCATAACGCTGTATTTAAGTGAATACTGTAGACCAATAACATTCTACTTAACATCCCGCTAGGCTGGTTTTAGCATGGATGCTTATTGATTCATACATTCATTTTTTTCAAATTACTACTTCAACATTAGATATAACCTGCCAGTGAAAAATATATCATCTTTCTGTGAGTGGGTGCATTTATCATTGCAAGGAAGAAAAGATAAAAAGATAAGCTTTAAGTAGGATATTTGGTTGGATGGATGTCTAAATAAACCCATAACTGCATACAGCTCTGTAAGCAAAATAGGTCTGGTTCACTTGAGAAAAAGGTGGATCAAGGAGACATTAAACAAGACTGATGGGCAGCTTTTCTTAAGTCAGGCTTCCCATAGGCTGATACTTTCCAGATGGACTTCAACATCATCCAACCAACACCGCTATCTGATCAATCAGGGAACTGGTGGGGTTAAAAACTCATGCATCTGAACAGACCCAGCTTGTAGGAGGTTGGGGGAGAAATCAAGCAGGTTGGATCCTTGATGGAGATATGGAGCTTTTCCCAAAAATGGAAAAGTGCCAGACAAAGTGGATGCGTGGGTATGATTGAACAGGGAGGGGGAAAGGAGAATGCAAGTACTAGGCCTAATTATGGAAGGGAGAGAGATTAGTCAGGGCTCTGCTGAAGTGAGAGGAGACCAGGTTGAAGGAATCTGATTTTAGTGTTGAAGGTTTTTCAATATTAAGACATTTTGTTAATATTTCTACTTTTCTGACCACGACAACTGAGACCATATTTTGCAAGAAGGAAAAGAAAACATCATCTCATCTTCCTAAATTCCACACAAATAACTACACCTGTTTTATGGAAATGGAAAATATATGTGTATTCTCCCCCATTCCCCTCTCCTCCACGTCCTGTTCACATTTTCCTTAGTCACATAAGGATGCCAACACTAGAAAAACTCCAGGGCAGTTTTAATCAGGCATCATCTTCCAAGCTTTAAGTTAGATTCACTTTCCCATCTCATCTCTTTGCTGTGCTATGTCTGGCTCCTGCTCTCTAACCCAGCCCCAAATCATGAGATTGCCTTCACTCTGAGATGCCTGGACCAGGGCTACAATAGAACAGAAGAACATATAGTCACAAAGCCTAGCTAGCAAGAAAGAAAGTAGCACTTTCACTCCCAGTAACCCTATTCTAGAGTCACAACTTCTATTTTGGGTTTTTAAACTCACTTTGTTGCAAGCTTATCTAAGTCCAACATATCTCTTTTATCCTAACCATACTCAGAGGTAGATGCTCTGTGGTAAAAGGATGTTGCTTTTAGGAGACCTGAAGTAGCACTTGCAAAAGAATTTTTCCATGTTTATTTTTAAAACGAATGGACAAGGTTCAGACGTAAGCAGAACTTATTTAGAGCAAGAGAGGTCCCAGGGCCACATGTGGTACCTGAAGTCTCTCTCTCTCTCTCTCTCTCTCTCTCTCTCTCTCTCTCTCTCTCTCACACACACACACACACACACACACACACACACACACACACACACACATTTAACCCTATCTCAAAAAGCCAGTGGTACAGTTGCCAAAATTCAATGATGCTTTATCCTGCTACTCTGAGGCCAGAAAACACGTGAAAAGTGTACTATATCTACCACCATGGCTACTGTATCATCACCATGCCTTGCAAACACTCAGGAAAAAATGGAAAATCCATGCTCTGCCCAAATGTGTAACTTGGCCATACCCACTTTGCCTTATTGTCCTGTGACGTTTGGGCCTCTGGTTAGGTGCTCAGAGGGCACTGTTCCACGACACGTCGAACTGACTGCTTTGGAGACAGAGACTTTCCATCCTGTATTGACTGTATAGTCTACCTCTGAATTTGTAAAGAGGGTAAAATAGCTTCATATTTGCTCATTGAGAATGTAACTGCAATGTGCTTGTTAACACTTTTGCCGTAAGCTAAATAAATAAATAAACAGGCCCCTGGAACTGCTTAGTGTCTCATGGGGAAGAGGAAACATCTTCTCTTTGTTCATCTTTGCAGTCAGAAATGCATGCATGTCCTCTCTGAAGTTCAATGTTATCTTTTCAGGCAAGCCTGTCTAGGATTGCAGCCTTGCTTGACATAGTCCAGCCTTCTTGCAGCCAAAGCTAATGTCAAAGGGGATCATATAGAGTAAATGTTTAGTGTCACCTTGCTAGGTCAGATCCACAGGTAGATCTTTTGGCAATTAAATAAAAAAATGTGGACATCCACAGGAAGGGCCTTCTTACAGTTGGCCCATAAGTCATAATGAGTGGCATGCTATTCTCAAACACGAACATTCCATCTTAACAAGGAATAGTTTCTCATAGGCCTGTTCTCCATGGATTCATCTACTGTAGAAGACGGCAGTTTGGTGCTCTCGAGAGAGTATTGACTAACACTCCCATAATCCTTTGCTTCTAGCTGTGTATTATGGACCTGGTGGAATTGTAGTCCCAAAAATATGCCTAGCACTTGACTTCCTTCTTATTCATGGACTGGTACAAAGCCACCATCTCACTCGATGGTAATGTGTTCAGCACAAAATAAACATAAAATTGTACTTCATGCCTGCAGGTGCCTTTTCTTTTTGTTCATTCTCACAGGCACGCATAAGCATGGTGTCTTGACTGCAGTAGGTCCCTGCCTATCTTCTTGAAGAAGAAACCAGCTATGTAAGCCGAGTATGAACCTGAATATCCAACTATGACGAAAACAAAGAGTTACAAATTGCTGGATCAGATATTTTATTCAGCCAGCTATGCGATAACCACAAAGATATTGCTCAACACAAATGGTAGGAAACAGACCGTAAATACACAGTGTTGAGCTTCTGAAGGCAAAGTGGTGACCTCGAAAAGATGCAGCAACTCTCTCCCCTTTTTTACCTCTTTTGAGGGGGAGTTAAAACCAAAATAGGCACACCAATCTTGCAAGAGTATTTTGTTTCGGTATTTTTATAGGAACTATCAAAGGATCTAATTTCTGTATTTTGCTGCTGAATTTCAGCAGTGTAATTGGAGAAGGGCATTACCATTGGTTGTAAGTAACTCACCCTGTTTTTTATTTTTATTTTTTTCTTGGAGGCAGGCAAAATTTTGATAGTCAAGAGCCCCTTTAAAATCTAGCGATGAGTGGCTCCACATTGCACACATGGGTAGGGGTAACTTTTCTTTTCTTTTGTTAACCCTGATATACATACTTTAAGGGCTTACACTACAGACTCACATCAGCATGGCAGGAAACGCTGACAGTTTTCAGCAATCATGGCCAGAGGAATCCCTGAGGTCCATCCAAAGTAGCTTAAAGTGAGCCTAGGACCACAATTTCCCCATCCATAATCTAGGGCCATTATGATAGAGCTGCTGTCACTGAGAGCAGAGGAAATCTAAAGCAGATCCTAATGAGTCAGTAACTATGAAGGACAGATCTTAGTTGAGAACAGAACAAGGCCATTCTCAGCCCACAAAAAGCTTTTAATTTCCAGGAGCCCTCAATGGTTTCAAGAACCATTTGCTTCCTTACAGTGGCAACCCTCCCCCATCACCTCGGAGACCTTCAGCAGACTGTTTCAGGAACACCCTACACTTTGATTGGCAGCTGCATATTGTAAACATGCTCAAAGAGGAACATAATCCTATTCAGGTCCGCTCTTTCTGATTCAGTTCTCTACTGGAAATATTGTTTTTACTGACAAGGGTAACAAGAAGAAAATAACACACCACATCAGGTAAAGACAAGAAAATTCAAGGTGGGCCAAACTAGCACAGCAAGCAAAGCAGACTCAGTTCATCAACCATTCAATCTTTTAAAAAAAGAAACTTGAGATCTGGGGTGCTCCACATGAATACAAAACACAGAATTGCTGGGGCAAAGCACTGAATACTGAACCGATTACCAGAGCCAAAAATACAAACTAAAACATTTGTCATTTGCCAAGAACCATCATGCTCAAAAGCCCAATTCCGGTTTCCCAGCCTAAATGAGAAACAAAATCTCACTGTACTTTAGCACAGGCGTCTCTCCAAACTTGGCAGCTTTAAGACCTGTGGACTTCAACTCCCAGAATTCCTCAACCAGCTATGGTTAAGGAATTTGCCATTAAGACAGACATTTGTGAATGGTACATCACTCCAACCTCTTTCTTAGATCCAGCCAAGCTCATATTATCAATTCTATGTAAATTAATGGCAGCTAGATTAGTGATGGCTAAATATTGGGGACGAAATTGGGATATTCAAAGAAATGAGTGGTATAATGAAATTTGGAGTATGGTAGCAAATGATAAATTAACAACAGAAATTAA